TACAAGATTGAATGAAGTAGTTTACCTGAGCACCTAGTGGGGCAAGCTGTGCATATAAGTCAGAGTATCGCACTGCTTTTTTCAAACCCTCAAGCGGCTTCCATCCCCGAGAGCAAAGCCAAGTCTTTGCTCTGCCTACAGGACCTGCACCATCTGGGAATTCCTCTCCACTCGGACTTCCGGCCACACTCCTAGCCCTCTGACCCCAGCCCGCTCCCTAGGCCTTCTACCAAGAACCTCCCCCACTCAGAGACAACCCTAATGGAAGTGCAGCTCCTCACTCTCCCCCTCACCTCTCCTTCCCCTCTGCTCCACTGCTCTCCAGAGCACCGTCACCACGGAAAGTACCCTACGTGTCCATGTGCTTCCTGTTCCCTCTGGAAAGCAAGCTGGAAGGGCAGGGGGGTAAGTGTTTTGTTCAGTCCTTGCTGAATCCCCAGCACCTAGTAGATATTCAATACATATTCATTACATTAATAAATGGATATTATCTTCCAGCCTCCCTTGCTTCTTCTTCCAAGGTCACACATATCAGAAGTCTCTGTACTTCCAAAATATAAAAAAGACAACAAAAAAAATCTTAGCTACACTGGGGCCTCTTTATCCACACTATAACTCAGTTTCCTGTGTTTGGGATATTTAGGACTTTATATGGTTATCTTTTGTTGTTGTTGTTGTTTTTAGTGTTCACCTCCCTGCTTTCCAACATCTTAATGCCAGCACCTGTGGACTGGCTGGAGTGTCAGGCACCAGACTCTGGGCAGTATGATTCCCAGGATGAGCTTACAGCTTATTGGTAGAGACAAACAACAGCCAATCTCAATATACTGTACTAATAATGCTAAGAAGAAACTGTATCCAGAGGGCCTACAATGGGGACATTTAGCACCAGCTAAGAGTTCGAAGAAGACTTCCCAGAAGATACCTTAAAGAGCATGAAGAGTTAACCCTAAATAAGCCAGTCATAAAAGACAAGTATCGCATCATCTCACTCATATGTGGAATCTAATGAACAAAATAGATCCAGAGACATAGAAGCATGGAACAGACTGATGAATCTCAGAGGGAAGGCAGAGGTGGGTGCGTGGGTGGGTAGAGATTAACCAAAGAACTTGTATGCATATATGCATCATCCATGGACACAAGACAATAGGGTGGTGGGGGGGGGGGGGGAGAGGAGAAGGGCAGGTGCAGGGTGGAAGGATCAATGGGAGAAAAAGAGGGACATCTGTAATAATTTCAACAATAAAGGTAAATTTTTAAAAATAAAGTTAGGGCCGAAACCGGTTTGGCTCAGTGGATAGAGCGTCAGTGTGCGAACTGAAAGGTCCTGGGTTCGATTCCAGTCAAGGGCATGTACATTGGTTGCAGGCACATACCCGGTGGGGGGGGGGGTGTGCAGGAGGCAGCTGGTTGATGTATCTCTCTCATCAATGTTTCTAGCTTTCTGTCCCTCTCCCTTCCTCTCTGTGAAAAATCAATAAAATATATTAAAAATAAAATAAAATAAAGTTAGGCCCAGAAGGGGCAGGAGGGTGCTCCAGGAATCAGTGTAAGCCCATGCAGTTGTGAAATTAAAGGACACACACAGGGACTGCAGAGGTTCCATTACCCGAACCTTAAGTCTGAGGCTGAAGGTCACTTATATTCTGTATGGAGGAGCTTGGACTACACTTGAGGAATGTGGCATGACCCACTTTGTTCTCAACTGATCACCCTAATGTTATTAAAGGTATCTGAGGTCTAGTAAAGCAAGACTTGGCAAAATCTTGGATGGCACACCTGCCCTTTTCTCAGTATGACCAGAGAGAATACAAACCTGTCAGAAACCCATGTAGCCACTTAGCATCAGGCAGATAGCCTAGACAGGCTAGATGTTATTCTCCAATCCATGGTCACCTCAGGTCAGGCCAGCTTCCTAAAACTGGAGACTCTCTTAGCAGGCGAATCTCTGGTTTTGAGGTTCTTTAAAAATCAAATTCACTGAAGGAGAGCCATGTTGGCATTGCATGAGCTTCTGAGCATAATGAAAGTCCTAATAAATAGGACTCAACTGCCCCAAGGGTTCTCTAGACCAGAGGTTGCAAGGTGGCAGCCCACTCTATCTGCTCTTGGCTGTGTAACTCACCCCATATGTTAACAAACTAAAACAACTTAAAATCCTTGCAATCATATAACAACCATATTTCTCAGAAACACTTGGCTCCTAACTATCCTTGAAAAACATACAGTAATCTGAAAATACTGGCCTGCCTTCCTATTTGGCAACAAGCTGGAATGACACAGCTGTAGCTGCCACCTCCTGTCCCCCTCCTCCTGTCCCCCAATGAGATGGGGGACAATCTCATTGGTCAGTCTTATCGTGGGACCTTACAGCTGACTCCTGAGTCTTCAGAGAGTGGCCCTACACATCCTAATGTCTCCTCCTTATTCAAAACCGCAGTCTCTCATCCCCAGTCCAGGTATATCAAGTGGCTTCACTGAAAAGTTCTTTTGAGTCATGGTGGGCTCTCCTGGTAATGACTGGGTGCTAATACTTAGTTGGAGGGGAAAGATACCTTGGAAAGGAGGACATAATAGGTACTACATCACAGAAGGGAGTGGGGGTCAGATGAGCACTGGGGGTAGGCGGACCACCACAGAACCAGATCAAAGGGCTCAAGGAACTGGGTCAATATAAAAAGGCGTGAAAGGGGAGTAGGAAGGGAAGCAGAGGAGCTAGAATAGAATAGTATCTCAGCAGGACTTGTGAGTGCCAGGGGTACAGAGGGATTTCTCTCCTTTTCAAGCCTCGTGGACAAATGTTTAAGAGACAAATATTAATAGCTACACACTTCTAAGTTTTATTGCTAATTAGAACTTAGCGTGCATGGGAGTTCTGAATGAGGCGTTAAGTGCAAAGTATGTTAACTTGGGCAGGGATGAGCTTTTTCCAGTTCAAAATGAATGCCCCTACCAAAAAAATAAGACAAACGGAATGCTTCACCCAGATGGCTTGGCTCTTTGATATCTACAAACATTTTGAAAACACTTAAAATATTTTCAACTCTTCTGTGCAGTTGCATTAGGTGATGACTGTTGGCTTACTTGTTTCCTGTTTAGTTTTTCCTTTGCTCTCTCTCCAAATAACTTTTGGTTTGAAGGCCGCAGTCAGGCCACAGAACTGGACTTGTGGCACAAAGAATTGTGTAATAACACAGACATGAGTGCCAACAGGTGGTTTCATAATCTAAGGCCTTGAAATAAGTTATCCTGCCGCTTGGCACGAATGCTGGGCTTGGTGATGGACATCCTGAAGTGTGCACGTTAGCGTATCAAGATGTATCAAGAGGAGGCTCTGGCCCGGAAGGGCGGGCTTCACTGGGGCTGTGGGACAGCTAGAGCCTGCGTGTGATTACTGCACACATGCAGTCAGCCAGTCAGCCGAGAACTGGTACGTTAGGCAAATGTTTAACCCCTGGTGGAGGAAAGAAAAAACAGGAAAGTCAGCTTCCTGGGGCCATCCTCCCTTGTCCTCTCCAATTTTAGAGACAGGAAGGGGGAAAAGAATCATCAATGTGAGAAACATTGATCAGCTGCATCCTGCATGCCCCCTGATGGAAATTGAACCCCCAACCAGGGGCATGTGCCCAGACCTGGCATCCAACCTGTGACTTCTTGGTGCCTGGGTCAGCACTCAACCACTGAGCCAAGCTGGCCAAGGCTCCAAGGACAACTCTGAAGGGACCAGCGGTCATCTTTTTGCTTTACTGCCAAGTTTAGCTCATTTTCTAGTACCCAGATCTTCAAACGACAAATCGTTTTTCCCTCCCCTAAGCCTCTCATGCTGTCTCAGGGAGGCTCATTCGGTCTTTGGACTTCAGTTAACAACAAAGTAAGACTATTGGAGAGAGAACATCAAAACAAAACTAAGTTGAGTGTCTCAATATTTCTGTCTTTGGCTTGTTGGTTTAGGAATACTATATAAACTACCTTCCCTTTTCCACCACTTTGAGGAATCCTCATCAGGACCAATAGGAAGCCTTCTGCTGAGGAGAAATGGCAGGGGGCCAACTGAAATATCTGATGTCAGGCACTTCCAAGACGGAGGAGCACCCATTCATCATGGTCCAAGCAGTGTCCCATGAGTCAAGGGGACGGAGTCCAGCATCCACTCACAAGACCTCAGCATTCAGATTTCAAGAATCGATGACCTACAAGATCCAAGACCAGCAGAGGGACCTGCATTCAGCCCATTCAAAAGCTGTTTCATCCAAGACGTGTTTAAACAATTATGACAAATTGAACATAGTCCTTTTTAATATAGTGGAAATTACCTGATCTCCCATGTATCCTGACTCCTGTCAAGTTGGGGTAAGGATACAGGCTCAGTGTATAGGCTTATACTGAGCTTAAGTATTCTCATCCACAACAGGTGACTGCCATAGGGCAGGATGCTAGAAGCACGTTTCTTATAACCCCAGGTTTTTATTAATTCATGTATATATTGTGTACCTACTGTGGGCTAGATACTGTGATAAACACTGCAGTGACAAAGTTTAACACAACCTACTCCTCACTTTTTTAAAAAAAATATATTTTTATTGAGTTCAGAGAGGAAGAGGGAGAGATAGAAACAACAGTGATGAGAGAGAATCATTGATGGGCTGCCTCCTCCAAGCCCCCTACTGGCGATTGAGCCCACAACCCATGCATGTGCTCTTGACTGGAATTGAACCTGGGACCTTTCAGTTCACAGTCCGATGCTCTATCTATTGAGCCAAACTGAGTAGGGCCCACTCTTCACTCTTAAAAAGCTTAACCTATCAGAGAGAAAATACAGTACATGTGAGTTTTGCTCTGTGGAGTGCTATGTACCATATGTAGTAAATGCTAGAAAGGGCTGTCTGAGGCAGAGCGCAGGCACAGGGGAGGGACAGTAAAGACCACTGGGGTAGGTCAGGCTGAGGGGTGATGGTTTCAGAAATGACTAGTAGACAAAAGGAGCCAGGAAGGCACAATGACCCCACTTAATTTTATAATAGTTGTCTAAAAATCAAATGACAAAGAGTACATCCACATAACACAATGAACAAATGGCAGTCAAAAAAAAAAAAAGAGAAAAAGACATTGATTAGGAGATTTATTGCTAACAGTTTTTGCAGAAGTTATGGCACGCACTGTGAAGATTTTTCCTGTCCACTGTCTCCTGGGCTGCTTCTGGTAAGTTTAGGTCACCTTTTAACTCCCTGTTTCTGTTCTGTTACAGCCCACAGTTACTTGTCTGCAAGTGACCACGCCTTCCACCTTCCAGCTGGTTTTCTAATTTTTCAGTTTCTAGGAACTTATAAACAGAAAAAGATCTGATAAAAATAACTTGATATCATGTGAAGTGTTGACACATTAAAGGAATCCTTTTGTTGCTTAACCAGGACATTATTTCTATTCTTAAATATTTCTGTAATAGGAAACAAAGTTGATAGGTAATGTCTGAATGTCTTGAATGTTTTATACTTAGAATAGGTTTCATATACTATTTTAAATGTCCATAAAACACATTACTATGTTTTTAGTTCACTGAGTTATGTTGTCCTATCAATAAGAAAGCCATCTAAACAAATTTTGATCTAAAATACCTTATCCTTCAGAATGTATAAATCTCTCACCTTTTACAAAATGTGGTTAACCACAATATTTCAGGTAGTTTAAGGGAAGGAAAAGCCATTAGAAGAGTCGTAGTATGTAAAAATGAAGAAAAGGAAAATATGGGAAAACATATAATGAATATGTTTCCCTTAGAAAACAATATTTCAAGTGAAATGCCATAGTTCTAATAAGTGCTCAGTGACCATGATAGAACCCACATGAATTACCACAAGATCCTAAATTAGTTATAAAGAAAAAGGAAAACTGCTCTTTAAGACAAAAATTAGGTAATATTTTCACAGTGAAAGTTAGGCAGAGGTTTTGGAAATTCTTAGAATGGCTCACTTAAAAAACTAAACAAGCAGTTCTGAGTTACTTATGTGATTATAGGTTGGTTTTATCTGAGAAAACCACATAGAATATTAACAATTAGCACATAACTGACAATTATATAAAGTATTACACCAAAGGAAGATGCCTTTCTTGATGGCAATATGACAGCGAAATGTAAACTAAAATTACACAGCATTGAAAGAGAGCCAACCGTTAAATCAACTGTCAAGAAAACCGTGGGGATTTAGAGAATAAAACAAATAAACCATCATAATAGAGACACAAGAATCTTTCAAAAACACCTTGTAACAGTAAAATCTAGCCCTTAAAAAAATAATGGTTATTTTGGTGGCTTTAAAACATGTATGCAAATTCTTTGATACCCAGCTCTCCAAATGCTGGGCCAGGCTTACTAGCAAAAAGCAAGTCAGAAGTGAGACTGCGTAGCTTCCATGACGAGGTCATTAAAAGGACAGCACGTCTGCCCTGGACAGTGTTGCTCAGTTGGTTGGGCTTCATCCCATGGACTGAAAGGTCACTGGTTCAATTCCTGGTCAGGACATTCCCAGGTTGGGGGTTCAACGGGACGCAACTGATCAATGTATCTCTCTCACATCAATGGTTCTTTCCCTCTCTCCCTCTCCTTTTCTCTAAAATCAATAAAAACATACTTAAAACAGAAATAGAAGGATACTGCTTCTGCCCGGAATGCAAGCTTTCTCATGGTGCTGGCTCTTAGAACCCAACCATCATTGGGAGGAAGCCAGGCCACACAGAGGCCACATGTGGGTATTCCAGTCAATAGCCTCTACTGGATCCCTAGCTGACACCAGCATCGACATGCAGCCAGGAGAGGGATCGTCAGTCTGCGGCACCGGGCCTCTCCATCCTCCAGCTTAGGCCACGGACATAGTGAAGCAGTGGTGAGCCATCCTGCTCTGTATTCTGTGAAACCCTGTCCATATAAATGGAGATGGTTGTTGCTGTAAGGCAGTGTTTCCCAAAGTATGGTACACGTACCCCCAGGGTACGGGAAGAGTTTGGTGGGGGTTCGTGTTGCACCGAGTTTGGTGGGGATATGCACTGCACTGTGCTTAGCTGCGCCTAATTCTACGTTCTCTTGAGTACGAGGGGTACTCAGCATTACGGAAATTATAGAAGGGGTACACATATGTCAAAAGTTTGGGAAACACTGCAGTAAGCTACTAAGTTTTGGGGCAATTTGTTTTGCAGTAACAGACAACTAATAGTTGACTGAATGCACACACTATTAAACAGGAAAAAAAATTGTTTTTCAAACTGAAAACAATAATCTTTATACCAACCAATTTAAGATATATCCTCCATTTAATAAATTTGGTAGGTTTATTTAAGTGATACAATTAAACTTCTTTAGTATAAATTTTTATATTTTGAAATCTGAAAAAATTAGAATCTAAATTTTAAGAGTGTTTAGGCTGAATGTCATCAGTAAGAGTTCTGGGAAGGAAAGTTTAGGTAATCCACAGAAGAATAAAAGAGGAATACTGAAGCTAATTAAGAGAACATTATTTTAAAGTACTTCATAGTAAAGTGCTCTCCACATAGAAGGCACTCGATAGTTACAAATTGTCAAATGAACCTTCCCCTAAATTCTTTCTAATCAGTTTTCATGTGTTAGTTTTAAGTATTCTATTTGGCAAATTGGTCAGCTAAGTTCAAGCAAATTATTTGTGCATACATATATTTTATCTTTTTCTAATTAAAGGTGAGTTCCCTGAGTGTATCCTTAATCTTTCTCACCTCTGTATTCCCCAATGGACCCAACAAAATGTTATATGTCAATTACTGCACTTACAAATATTTGTGCAAATAATCAAACTACACAGATGTGCCTGAAGCTAATTCAAAGGTCTTATAGTTCACTATTTTCTTTTGTTCTGCCCTTTCCCACGATTAGTCCAAGCTAGTTGATATCCTATCTAATAAAGAGGCAATATGCTAACTGACCCTCATACAATCACAAAGATGGCAGCACCCACAGCCAATAAGGAGGGAATATGCTAATTAACTGTCCTACCCTCAAAGATGGCGGCACCCACAGCCACAGGATGGTGGTACCCAGTACCCTCAACCTGCCCCCAGAGTCTCCCAGTCTCCTCAGCCCCCCAGGCGCCCAGGGCCAACCCGAGGCACAGGCAAGCCTTGGATGGCACCTGCCCAGTCACCCAGGACCACCAGAGGCTCAGGTAACCAGGGCCAGCCGAGAATTGTGCTGCCGGCAGTGGCAGCAGCAGAGGTGTGATGGGGTATCATCTTCCTCTGATCATCAGGTCACCTCCTGCCACTGAGGGCTCCCGGACTGTGAGAGGGGGCAGGCTGGGCTAAGGGACCCCCCGTCCAGTGTATGAATTTTCATGCTCTGGGCCTCTAGTTTTAAATATTTACAAGAGACACTGCATACCCTTTTATATCATTTACTAGTGTACTTGGAGTAAAGATAAAGATATAAATGTTTGCTATGTGTGACTGGTCATCTGGTGGTGATCAAGCCATTCCCCACATCTCCAGGATGATGTACGCTGCTGAGCTCACTGCTCATCACGCAGCTCTGTCCTGGTGGAAGGGGGCTCACCCCTGCTCAGCTGTGCAGTGCATGAGTCTGCTCATTTCCTTCTGCAACTCAGGACAGAGAAAACCTAATCCAGATCTCTATTTTGTTATACGCAGAGATTTATAGGTCAGCATTATTTTTTAAAATATTACAAAGACACACTATTCTGCTTAGGACAGAAAAGAATAAAGACACCTAATTTTTTGTTCATTCCTCCAGTTTAGTCCCAACTTCTTTTAAAACACAATACAACAGTAAAACCTAGCCCTTCTTAAAAGATTGAGATCAAACTTATTTGCATTGCCTATGCTCAGACTTAAAACTTTTCACCGAATAAAATTTTGAAATATTTATTTATAAGGTTACAACTGTCTTTGAAATTAATCAGTGAACAAAGCAACAGTTCTTTTTCCATTCACATTCACACTAATTATTATTCTAAATAAGATATTCATAATTTCTTCAGTTTCAATCTAAACATTAAATTTGTAGTAAAAGGATGTGGGTTCTGGTACAGATTTTCTAATTCACTGTATGGCCCTAGACAAGCGATCTTGGATCTCTGCCTTCACCCACATCTCACAGGAACAGTGCCTTTTTAAGCCTACTTTATAGGCAAATAGGCATGGAATTCATGTGAAAACATTTTGCTGAAGTTGCTAAACAAATATAAGGTAAAATATGTACCATTTTATCACATGTTTTCTAACATTTGATTTGCTTCCTATAATTTAAACAAAATAAAGACTGCATACTTTCAGACTACAAAATTCAGTAGTTATACAAGGTGAATTAAAGTAGTAAAGCAGGTCATAATAGTAAACCCATTCATCCATGCTCTCATTTAATTAAGAAATAATAATTATAAAAATAGGTAAAATTTTGTGAAAATATTCCCATTTATTCTATCTTAGGAGGTCTTGCCCATATCAATGGATTGTCTGGCATCAGACATGGCATCTGGTACTTGAACAGTCATTTTGTCCATAGCCTTTGTCAAACAGATTTGGCAGCCCAACCGGGATCTGTATAAAAAAGGGGGAGATATGGTTTAGTTTTAAGCAGGTATTATTCATAAAACAATCAGTCACATAGAACATTTTCTTACTCAAAAAAGTTAAGAATTTATTTAACTTGTACATTTCTTTTAAGTTAAAAAAGATATTCAACTCTCAACTAGAGGGTAACAAAATGTGATCATAAAACAAAAGCCTAGTGGACCATGGCTTCATTTTAGTCTTTGTCTCCATCATCCACTAATTGTTTCACCAATACTACTGCTTTTTGGTGAAAAAAACGGACAAGCAATGAAATAGTCAGAAAGCACAACAGTGGAGAAGAGAACTGAGATTTTAGCAATGCCAAGAAAATGACTAATCAATTCTCAGATAACTAAAACCATACACAGACTAGAAAGAAAGTCTTTAAAACAAGAAATTTGGAATAAACACACATAATAAGTCATCAATTATCAGATATATCTTTTCCCCACATTTTTAACATGTCTAAAATCCAGTTAAATCTTAAAATCACTGGCATCTAACAATCACTGTACACTGGGAGGAGGCAGTCACATGAGCACTGCAAACTTGGTCACAATATTCATATAGGTGCCTCTTCAAATGAGTTGTAAGAACTATGTTACTACCACATATGTTGAATTTAACTACAAGTCAAAATTATGCCATTGTAATTAGCTAGTTATTAATAATAGGAAAGGAGCAAAGGGGAGGCCAAACATTATAGGCTTGTCATCTGGGCAGCTTCACAAGGAAGCTGCAATTTCACACTCCCTGGAGAACCACCAGCCAGGCCCTGCATATCACTGGGGAAGGGACTGGATAAAGGGGAAGACGGGTACATGCACAGTGAGTAGGGATGACATAGGGAAGATGCCTATCAGTCAAACCTTAGAACAGAGATCAATGGCTAAAGGGGGCAGGGCCAATGCAAACCCACAACAATTTGGGAACACATAAGCCCACAGACCAAGGAGTCTCCTTCACCTATGTTCCCTCCATAGCCATATGGCTCTGAAGAACCCAAATACAATGAACTAATGGACTGTAGCTAGAATCACTAACTAAGCTAGCTTGACGCTGGACTGGACACTGCTCCAACATGAAACAAAAACTCGACACCAGCTTTGATCTTAGCCTTGCTGAAAATGAAATGGGACTTTTTTCTTGGCAGGACAAAGGGAAATGGGACCTTGGAAACTCAGGGGTGTAATTCCACAAAAATAAAGCTTGCAACAGTATCTCATCCTCCAATGGGGACCTCAGAAATAAGTGCAAAAGGACTACGAAAGAAAAAATTAATACAGAAACACAGCAGAGTATAAATTTTATATTCACAAAAGTGTAAATTGATAATCATAGACCAATTATTTATCATTGTAAAAATAATTATAGCCGAAACCGGTTTGGCTCAGTGGATAGAGCGTCGGTCTGCAGAATGAAGGGTCCCGGGTTCGATTCCCGTCAAGGGCATGTACCTTGGTTGCAGGCACATCCCCAGTAGGGGGTGTGCAAGAGGCAGCTGGTCGATGATTCTCTCTCATCGATGTTTCTAACTCTCTATCCCTCTCTCTTCCTCTCTGTAAAATATCAATAAAATATTTTTTTTTAAAAAGAAAGAAAAATAATTATTGATATAATCCCATTTTCTTCCCTTTTTCAGAATTACTACCGATTTTATTAATATTTTCCTTTTTAACAATAATGTACAAATGTATGTCTAGGTAATTCAAAATAGCTATTTTACTCCAGTTTAAAATAGGTTAAGTGATAACTTTGTGCCACATTTTTACTAGCATTACTCTTTTCTTTCTTAGTGGCAAACAAAAATAAATGCCAGTCTTCAAACAAATTGTCTTCAATTTGACATGGAAGTCTTGGTTTCATTAACACATTCATCAAATATTCACAGAGCATCTCGAGGCATAGTACTAAGTATCAATGGGGTACAAAGAACAGCGACTCACTTCAACAGTCTGAACACCTCTGACACGCTGGCGCCCAGGGATGCAACAGGAAGCAGCCGTGGGTTAGAGCCTTAGGGCCAAACAGGCCAGGGGTTCAGAATCCAGCCTGAACGTGGTGTGTACACTTTCTTAATGCCCCTCCCCAAACACTCATTTCCTAATCTCATCCTAAAGATGGATAATACACAGGCTCCTCACTGGACTGTGTGGAGGATTAGTTGCTAATATCAGTATTAAGGAATGAACTTTCAATCAAATAGAAGAGATGAGATACATTTGCAGATAATACAACATATGAGCTTGTGACAATGCCATACGGAGTGAAAGCCAGAAGATGTGAGGGGACAGCACTTAGACCTATCCAGGGGAGACGGGGTTTAGAATGTGCTCTAAACATTTTTGTGAGGATAAGAAAATGTATGTTTTTAGATAGGACAGTTTGCTAAGGATCTAACAAAATTGTAGTTTACATAGTATACCTGCAATAAAGCTATTTTTTTTTAATTTTTTATTATTATTTTACATTAGGGTCACCAAGTTATAGGTGAACACCAAAGCCAACATCACATAAGCCCTCATTATTTTGCCCCTTAAACAGTAAATCAATTAGCTACTTCTCCTGGCTCCAACCAAAATATTAGGTAATTTTTTTAAGAATAAGGCATCATAGTCAGAGAAAGACAAGTATCACATGGTCTCACTCACATGTGGAACCTAATGAACAAAATAAGCTGTTGAAAAAGAAGATCCAGAGACATAGAAGCATGGAACAGACTGTGGGATCTCAGAAGGAAGGTGGGGGTGGGTGGGTGGAAGGGAAGAGACCAACCAAAGAGCTTGTATGCATATATGCATAACCATGGACACAGACAATAGTGGAGTGAAGGCCTGGGGTGGAGGAGTGGGGAGGGGACACTTATAATAATTTCAACAATAAAGATTTAAAAAATAATAAGGCATCACTTGATACCACTCACTTGCTGCTTTAGATGTTACTAATTTAAAGAGTAATTCTATCTATTAATTAATAAGAAGAATAACATAACTGTAGTTTAATACACACTTAGAAATAGAACTTCATCTTAACATAATTACTATTATGTATTAAGTATCTTTAAAAATTCTATTCTCAAGTAGGTAAAACTTTTCATTATAATTTCGTTCAATTATCAAATCTATCCTTCGATGATACCATAAAAAGCATTGAATTTAATCCCAATTCACTAAATTGTGATAAATAGTAATCCCTGGAATAAAAATAGACTATATAAGATTTAATTTTTTTACTTTTATATAAAAAAAAAAGTTTTGTAAGAGCTAAACTGTGGAACAGTAAAAACAAAGAGAAATGTCACATTTTATATTCAAAGTTTGTAACTGTTACTTATCTACGCAGAAAGATCACAATTACACACACAGGTCTGGCCTTACATAGACGTGAACTAGTAAAACCTTTATTTTCCCAGACTATGGGTACAACTGAAGAGGTCCTAAAATCTTACCTATCCGTTAGCCCGTACGCCAGATCAAGCATGTCATTCTCCTCATCAGTGATTGCTTCTAATTTGTCGTATATGTGCTTTTCAAAGATGAGGTGGCAGGTGGAGCAAGCCAAGGTTCCCTCACATGCACCTACAAAAGCAAGACATTGAACATACTCTACATTCACACAACTCAAACTGGTTTGAATTAAAGTTAATTATTTCTACATTTGAGGATCAGCATTAGCATCCATGATTAAGACTTTATTTCTGAATAATAATAAAAATTAGGGAAAGCCCACATACACGCAATTTGAAATCACATTCACGTATTATTTTTAAAAGGTTTTCAAGAGCTCAACACATTCTGTGAAGTCCTGTAGTATATAAGAGTAATATTAGCAAACAAACCTACAGCTAAGTAATGGTACATATTATTCCCTCTGTCTTTCCTTGTGATCAGGACAGAGATCAAGTAAGTTCATTTTAAGAGTCACCGTGGTTTTAAATAATGAGCTGCTTCTCCTACCCCCGTTATTGCTGAGTGCCTAATACATGCCAGGTACTGTGAAAGGGGAACTGAGACATCGCCTGGTTCAACCCAACTATGACTGAGCCTGCTTTGCATATCCTTTTCCAGGGCTTACCCAACCTTTCCTTGAAAACCTGGGAAAGAAAGCCACACCTGCATAGCCAGCCAATTTTGCATTTGACTTCTGCTGAGCTAGTCTGCAACTCTCACAACTACTAGTCCAGTACTATCCCATGGAATCCAATCCTTTTCCCAGCTTTACTGAGACATAATTAACAAATAAAATTGTAAGATGTTTAAAATGTACATTGTGATGATTTGATATACATATATATTGCAAAAGTATGCCTCTCATTCAGTTAACATATCCATTTTAAATATAAAAACTCTTGTGAAAACATGTATATTATATTCTCTTAGCAAATGTCAATTATACAACAGTGTTATCAACCGTAGTCACCATGTTATACTTTAGCTCCTCAGACTTTATTCATCTCATAGCTGAAAGTCTGTACCATTTATCCACCTCTCCCTACTTCCCTCACTTCTAGCCCCTGGCAACTTCTTTTCTGCTCTCTGTTTATGTGAGAACTTTATTAACTCTTTAGTGAATCCTTCTTTTAAACAACGCTTTACATATATCTGAGACTATTGCTCCGTCACCAGACTGGGCACACCCCAGTCTTCCCAATTTCTTGTATGAGTTCTGCATCCCTTCCCTCAGCCTGATTGGGCTCTTAAACCATGGCAGCCATGACTGTCTGCCAAAACAGAATGGTGCAGAATTGTGTTCTCCTCAAATTCTATATTAAAAATAGTTTTCCAGCTTGTTTTTTAATACTAATTTTTTTTTTAATGGTGTGGCTCTCTTGTTTGAGCACTGGCTCATGAACCAAAAGGTTTGTTTCCTGGTCAGGGCACATACCCACGTTGTGGTTTTGATCCCTGATCAGGATGTATAGGGGATGCAACCAAGCAATGGTTCTCTCTCACATCAATATTTTTCTCTCTCACTCTCCCTTCCTCTCAAATAAATAAACTATTTGATAAATAACACTAAAAACCATAACAACTTTGAAAATTACAGACGCCTAGGAGTTACTTAAGTTTGATTTAGATTCTCTTTTGGCAATAAACAACACATAGAATATGTAAGAATAACTACTATCAATATCTAGTAATCTTAATTTTCCCGAGTGAACAGATCATTTTACTAAGATGGTTCCCTCATAATTTAAACATTTGTTATTCATATGTTGTTATCTTAAAAAAACACAAGAAAGGCTTCCTTAAATGTTCATTTTCATAAAATGTAATTCAAAGAAGTAACAAGACTAAGAAGAGAGAGAACATACAGTGAAGTAGAGGATTGAGTGGGTCTTAGAGCCAGACTCCCTGGGTTCGATGTGATTCCACTTTTCCTAATGGATCAACTTGGGCTACTTAACCCTCCATGCCTCAGTTTCCTCAATATTGTATCCGCACCAATTATCTTGTAGTTGTGAGGATTACATCTGAGTGTGTACTTAGCATATGTATTTGCAACCAGGACTTGTAGATAGTAAACACTATGCAAGAGTTGGTAATTAGTATTATTTTAAAGTTATAAGAAATCTTGGAGTAATGTAACTTTCTTATTTTTTTAATATATTTTATTGATTTTTTACAGAGAGGGATAGAGAATTAGAAATATTGATTAGAGATAATCATCGATCAGCTGCCTCCTGCACACCCCCTACTGGGGATGTGCCTGCAACCAAGGTACATGCCCTTGACCGGAATTGAACCTGGGACCCTTCAGTCCACAGGCCAATGCTCTATCCACTCAGCCAAACCGGTTTCGGCCACTTTCTTTTTATAAACATAATGAGAACTAAACCCAAGAAGTCAAATAAATACACTGAGGTCATGCTACTAGAGATCAATCATGACTTTCATCTGAGTTGCTCAATGCTGAGACAACTAGATCCTTCCACACAATAATCTAAGTCACCTTCCTTAAATATCAGACATAATGTAAATATACACCTATTTATAATACACCAATATACGTATATACACACCAATTGGTTACTTGAAAAAGTAGCTTACTTTCCTATTTTTGTGTAAATTTGAAATATTTCAAACAAAAGGTAAATGGATATACTTTACATAAAAAGAAAAGGGCTTTCTCTACTTAAAAAAGTACACACACACACACACACACACACACACACACATACACACGTGCGCACGCGCGCGCGCATTTCAAAAACCCCTGCAATAAAAAGAGAATGATTATAGTACAGCAGGGTCAGGCTCTAAATCAGTGGTTCCCAACCTGGGGGGCAATTGGATTTTTAAGGGGGGCAATTCGAGAATGAGTTAGTAACAGTGAATTTTTTGCATTTATTATGGTTCTAGAGGCTTCATATACAATAAATAAATATATTGTGACATATTTATGCATTTCAGTTCTCTATTATGTTTCATAACACATCATATCATTTTTTTTAACAATTTCACATCATATCATTTTTTTTTTTAACAATTTCTTAGTGATTTCTTCCTCAGTACTTCAACTGTCCTTTCATTCTTTTATTTTTCTCTTTCATGGGTGCCATGTTCTTTGGAAGCTTGTTTAGACTAAGTTAACAGCCTTTTAGGCTTACTCCACGTGAATAGTTCACTCTTTCAATAATAAGAATTGTATGTCACAGGGAGGGGGGAGGTCAGGATTTTAGAGATGCTTAGGTGGGGCATGGCCAAAAAAAGGTTGGGGACCACCTTTTTGACCTAGATGGACCTACCACACTATCAGCTGTGTCCTGGGCAAGCCTCTCAGACCTGTTATTTTCTCATCTGTATAGTAAGAGATGGAGGAATATAACCTCAAAGGGCCTGCTGGCGCCAATATTTTATGACTCCATACAGAAGTATCACCACTGTTAATGAACTTATCCACTAGTATTCAATAAATATATACTTATCTTGATTTCTGTTTTTATGTTACCAATACCCAATACAAATACAAAACTAAAATAGCAAATCCCTCTAGAAATACTGCAGGCCAAAATTCAGGAAATCCAGCCTCCTTTTGTCTTCAAAATGTAAGTAAAACAATCTTTACAAAATACTCCCAGCAACTTTCTTCAGATTTGTTATTAAAATAACAAATCCTGAGACTTGCAAGCCAAGTATAACAGAAGATGCAAAGAAAACAAAACTCACAGTCTAGGGCAGGGTGAGGTGGGTGGGGCTGCAGAGGCAGGGGACGGAGTTCCCTAAGGCGCCTGAACCTGTTCTATCAGCCCGATTTCTCCACCTTGTTTCCTGACATACCCGGTGGGCAGCACAGGCTCAGTAACCGTCTTTCACGGTGAGTTGCCACAGGGATGACACTAGCCAGGGGGTTATGAACATGTCACTCCTCTCCCAGACCCAGACCCTGGAGAGACTGCTTGTAAACCTCTGCTATACGGTACAAATAGTTGCTAACCAATTCTGAGCCAGAAAGTGACGTGGAAACTTTATTTGGAGAGATCTTACTGCTGGTTGTAAAGGATGGATTTAAGTTTGTTTTTTTGTTTTTTAAAAAAGGCAGAAGCAGCCGAAACAGGTTTGGCTCAGTGGATAGAGCATCGGCCTGCGGACTGAAAGGTCCCAGGTTCGATTCCGGACAAGGGCATGTACCTTGGTTGCGGGCACATCCCCAGTAAGGGGTGTGCAGGAGGCAGCTGATCTCTCATCAATGTTTCTAACTCTCTATCCCTCTCTCTCTTCCTCTCTGTAAAAAATCAATAAAATATATTAAAAAAAAAAAAAAAAAAAAAAAAAAAAAAAAAAAAAAAAAAAAAAAGAGGCAGAAGCAAAAGCCCTAAGGTTTCACAAGGGGGAGGAGGAAAAAAGGAAAGAAAGGATCAGAAAGGCAAAGAGAGCCAAGCTGAGACCATTCCTAGAAAGGCAGTCAAAACAACAATGTCTCAGATGGTAGACAGGGAACCAGAAAAGTGTGATGTCAGGAAAGATCAAGGAAAAAGAGAGTGCATACAATGTGTTCTCAATCATGCTGGAATGGAGAGAAAAGTTCATGAGCCCATAAATCCTTCCAGAAAAATTTAGGACGTTCCTTTTTGTACCACCTGGGCAGACGACATGCAGAGTTGCCATCCATCCAGCTCCTCATGCGCTTTAAGCTCTCTCTTCCCTAGGAAACTTCAATTCTTCTAACCGTCTCTTAAAGGTTTCTTCATTCTCTAATATAATTTTATTGCCCTCTTAACGAACCTTGCCAATTGTTTCCACATCTTGCTTAAGTTGTCAAGTTCAGAGCTAGAGAGTATTCTTATAAGAATTTGATAAATGTTGAGAATATACAGGTTACATTTGGTTCCTACATGCAAAGTTCCTACTACAGATTCTAGTCCCAGGTTTATTATTTAAATAAATAAATAAATGGATCACATTCATGATCCTTCCTTATTTTATAGTCCCTTTCAAACGTTTTCCACCACAAGCTGTGGCCAGGTATGTTTTTCTTATTCTTCACACCAGGAAGAAACTCAAATATAAAAGAAACTTTAAGACTCAAGAGTGAAATCAACTCAGCTTGGCTAACAGTGGGCCAGAGAAATATGATG